TCAGATCACTTTGGCCATATAGCTTCTTCTTCTTTTCTCTCTCTCTCTCTTTTTCTTCATGTCCTGCATGAAACCTGCAGGGAATGATTAGCATGGACACTATCGACCGTGTGTAGTAGTAAATTAAAACGATTGTTTTCGAGGGGTACTGCAGATTTATAGTGACAGTACTGCAAGTTGAATATTGCTTCAAGGTGAAAAGCTCCCTCTACGGACGAGGGACGGAAATCTATGATTAAATAATGACAAATGTGAGTTATTAGTCTGAAGTCTTATAACTCCGTGTTTAGATAAACACAGAGAAAGATAGATGGTTTTATTGACAGGACTTTTTATGCATGGAGAGAGGAGGGGGTGAGTAATGAAAGAAAACAAAGTAGGAAGGACAGAAAGATACAGATTAATAGACAGACAGACAGACAGAACGACAGATAGGAAGAAAGGCGCACATAAACAAACAAACAAACACAATACCCCCCCCCCCCCAAAAAAAAAAAACAATTCATGTATTCATATATTTATCTACTTCTTTATTTCTTCATTTATATAAATTAATGTAGCATTAAAATGTTTTAATAGATTTTAAAAAGGTGAAAGACGTTGAACAAAATAGTACTATATGATGAACAATTTAGAAGCAATTTTTCTTTATTTTTCTTTATTTTAAAGAGAGAGTATACAAAAGATAAGCATACACCGTTTAGCCTACAAATCCCCTTTTTAGTTCAATGTTTGCATTTGCCAATGGCACAGACGATTATCCTAAGTTGGATTAACGATGGACTGGGAAAGCGCATGATTTATGAAACTGAGCAAGATTGAAGATTCATTATCTCACTTTAATGAGCTTAGTATACACTGGTTGGGTGATTTGGAATTAGCCTTCTGTTAAGCCTGAAACGAATAATGGGCAGCTCATGCCAGTGAAGAGTTAAAATGTGCATTGTTATTTGATTATTGGAATAAATTCATGATTATATTATTTTTGATATCATTGTTATTATTGCTATTATTATAATAATTGTTGTGATTACTACAAGTAATACTAATACTACTACTACTACTACTACTACTACTACTACTACTACTACTACTACTACTACTACTGCTGCTGCTACTACTACTACTACTAGGCTACTCCTACTGTTATTATTATTATCATCATTATCACTGTTATTATTATTATTAGAATTATTGTTAATATTATTATCGCAATTACCTTTGTTATTATTATTAATGTTTTTATCATTAATATTATGATTATCGCTATTAATATTATTATTATTACTATCATTTTTATTATTATTATCATCTTCATCATACTTTATCAGTGATATTAGCAGTATTAGTATTAGTATTAGTATAACGTTATCGGCAGTAACAACGGCATCGATGTACTCGACGTCACCTATGCCTGCGGGGAAGATGGAAGTGAAATAAATCACTATTAATGTAACCTAGTGCTTTCTCTCCCATGTAAATATAAAAAACATTGTAATTTTCTAGAAATTTGCTTAACAATAAACACTAAGGATGATACAGTGTCATGTACGCCTTGAATTCAGACTAATCATTGAGACACATATCTTATCCATATTAACGCTGTTTACGCTGTGTAAGGAAAATTAATCATAAAGTCTTCGCACACTATATCAATCGATGAAAAAGAGTAATAACCCATCTTTGCTTGGTAGGTTAGTCTGCTATTCTAGGCACTTTATCGATTTAGTCATCGCTCACGTTACTTTGCTGCATGCCCATGCTCTCTCCTCTAAATTCCTATGTCGTTTGAAAATATATCATCACCCCCCCCCCCCCCATACTGAAAATTAGTATAACATGTCTTAGATTCCATGTATATATGATACCTGAGCTGTTTTTGAAGAACACAAATTGAATATGCTATATTTAGGCCTATATACCTGTGATAAATCATTCTTACGATTTGTTAGTGTATCAAAATGATGACTTTGTACGAGAAGCATTATTCCGGAATATACTCTGGTATTTTAAATCTCTTTAAAGAGAGAGGGGGACAGAGGGACAGAAGACATAGAGGAGGACGAGGAGGAGGGGGACGAATAAGATTCGGAAGGAGAAGAAGAATAAAAAGAATCAGAGGATGTCGAAGGAAGATATGTGAAGAAAATTAAAGAACAAGAAAGGAAGACAGTGGGCACTTTGGAGCATAGATTGTAATTCACCCTTAAAGGCATTGTTTATCAACATTAAATTTGAGATGCCTACGTGTTATCAGTGTCTGTAATATGTTGTAATATTGAAGCCTTCAAAATGATCAAGAAGTGCCTCAAAATGATCAAGGATTTTGTTTCAAAATCTGAAATAATGTTACCTAGTCATTTTACAAATATGAAGAAGCATGCAAAACTTTCCAGTTTTAAAGCGAATCATTACTTGAGAAGACATCGGCAATTTAAGACTATACATGCATAATCTCCAGGGCAAAAGCAAAAAATCCCCCCCCCCCCCACCCACCCCCCAATACAGACTATAGAAAGCGAAGAAAATATTCTTGATAATATGAATCTTTAACAAAAATATTTATTCTTTGTTTTCAATCATTGTACAGATTGCTGTTCACACAATGTCATGATATCGCATTCCAAACAAATCACATGATAAACCATGACAACATCGTTGCCATGGCTGCAACAATTGTGCTATCATTGGTGTGCACAAACCAAGTTGACAAATTTAATAAAGATAAGTTTTCTACGACCGGTCAGGGATATTAAATTTTCCTATGTGTGTTTTCGCCGCCAGATGCACACGGCTAAACCATGTCAACATGTTGGTTTGTTTTACTGGGATTGTCAATTCTACAGGTAGTGCACAATATTATAAGAGTATCCATGTTATGCACTGCATTTTAGCTTTGGTAGTTCACTGCAATAATGTCTAAACTCCAATCATAGCGATTCATAACTCTTTGTGAGCTTTGTCTTGATCATTTATATTCAATGTACCCGATATCATCACTGCTTTATATTCTGCTTTTTTAGTCTCGACAGCTTTGTAGACTCACAACTATATTACCCTTTGGAGCCATACATGTCTTTCTATCGGCTTAAATTTAGTCTGTAATTTTAAAGTAATTGTTAGCAACACAAAATGATTCACATTTTATGTGATTTATGCTTGATTATAACTCCTTGCAATATATTTCTTTAAAAATTGTATTCATTCTTGTATTTCTTTATTTTTCAGCAAAACTGACAATGTGAAACTTGAAATATGAAATAGGCGTCGCAGTTTTATAAAAAACTTATTTACGAACTTGGCTATTTGTTAATATTTTGTTTAATAGTGAACAAGAGGGGAAAGTTGTGGTCAGAGGACTGGTTTATCAAAAGAATAATATAATTATAATTATGGACTGAAAATTCAACTGATTCAAAAGCAGATCGCCAAAACTCTTGAGAAATCAACGCAAGGAAAATTAGAATATAAATCAGTTTGAATGACAAAACACTTCTGACTTATTGTATTGTGCACATGTTTGGTAGGTTATGTACAAAGCTATTGGGTCTGCTCATTTGGCCTTAAATTGAGTTCTTGAAAGTCTTGGCGATCGCATTGGTCCTAGAGAAGAGGCTTATATCATGTATATAGCGACATTGTAATATTGTATCAATGCATAATAAGCTACTAAATACAATACCATGAGCTACTTAATACACGAATACAAAAGGTCAGTAATTCATGATTTCAACTATCTTTATGATGTTAATGTATGCTCTATTCTGGCCCCAAATTTTAAATACTTTCCTTTGTTGGTGAGTATGATGAGCATAAACCTTTCTGACTATCTATAAAATGCACTTTAAAATTAAAGATTTCAACTCGTTTTGTAGAATATTACTGGTGTAATTGTCATTTTTATGTTTACAGCCTTTTCATGTAGACCTACTGGGATCCGTGGCAAAGAAAAAGAAGAGAAGCATTGGTTATGTACTAATTTAAAATTATTACCATGAAGTAATCGTTGACATATGGGGGGGGGGGCGGAGGAACACGTGCCAGAGTGGCAGGGAAAAAGAACAAGTAAGCACCAAAAAAAAAAGCAACAGCCTCAAAGTGGGGAACAATAATGGGAAAAGAGAAGAATATTCACGTGTCTTAACGGAAATTAAAATACATTCTGCCTGCCTCCCACTCCCCTTAAGAGAAGTATCCTCGATCTGCGCTGCCACGACGAGTAGTGATGTCATCGGTTGCTCTTATTCCACGAGCACACATATCACATACATCAATGTTCCATTTCCTGTTTGCAGAAGAAGACCACCTGTTTATGTGAGTTTGGTCACGCCAGTCACACTGTCAAACCGACGCGTCGCGACGCCACCCGTTCCAAACCCCCGGTTCTTTAGCTCATGATCATGGGGGTTGTGTAGGAGTTTGTGGACGGTCTGGCGTCGGTCCCTTCGGTGTGACTGAGGTGTATGCGATCGAAACCCTAGATGACACTGTCTTTCTGCAGTCACTCGCACCCATCACTCTCTGTTCTTCAGAGTCAGGTCACATACCCGTGGTGATTTCACGATTCATTGATAATGCTTGATAGGTTATATTCAACATTTATAGTATGATTCATGAAATGATATTGATGCTTACATGATGTGTTTATCATTTTTAGTGATGATAATTAACTGAATAAAAGTAAGAAGACATTTAATTGAACAGGAAAACCTAAAAAAAAAAAAATTGTATCATCTTTTCAAATCATTTAGAGATCAAGATGAATTTAGTTCTCATTCTAGTGTAAATTGATATGTATACCGAACACACATGCGATATTACTAATCACAGAGTAAATTGTGCACAACGAATGGGTACCTTTTCTGAAGCTGAAAACTAATAAACCAGAGGCAGTTATATAAAGCCTGAACTTATTAGACTATCACTTGATGGCGCACGCACGCTTTCTACAAACACGACACACACGCACACTCACACACACACGCGACTTCGGTTCATCCCATATCCCCTCAGGGATTCTCTCTCTCTCCCTCTCTATCCTCCTCTTCACCTCACTCGCTCTTCCGACCATGTCACCGAGTACCCACGACCACCACCACCACCATCACCCACTCCCACGATGAGCAGCAAGTTGGAGGTCTTCGACATCGTCTTCGAGAACAATGACGTCGACATCTTCAAACCAGGCGACGTCATTCAGGGATTCGTACTCGTCGTCCTCTCGGCGGAGAAAAAGCACATTCGAGGTGAGTCAAGTTATTTCCCAGGTTTCTTTTTATTAGGAGTAGCGTTATTCACGAACGGGATGATAACATTAACAGTCCTCTTCGTAGGGCTATGGAAGCACTCTCTACACCGGTAATATCTCGGGTAAATATTAACCCCTTCGACCGAACACACCCGTCGATATAATTGGAGAGTTCTTCCTGGACGTGATGGAATTATCAACTTCACCATCCATCCATCCTCGTCCGTGGAATGCATCACATTGGCGATGTTAGTCGGGAGACCACGAAAATCCATCTCCGTTAAAGGGAAAGGTTAAGTAAATCAATAAATGTCGTACCACAAGAAGGTGCATCTCTAGTTGTCGCAATGACACTATTTTGATTAAAACTGGCACTTACAGTTATTCTTAATCGTTGGTCATATTTTTCTAAAGCAATCATAATGAAGTGTTGTTTGGCCAGCAAAATACAAACGGTATTATTCATCAATATAACGAATGGTGTCAATATTATCATAAACTATGGTAGACCCGGCATTCTCATTATCATTGTTTAATTGGCTCACTTTATTAATCTGCTATTTACTTCGCAAATCTAAGTCACACTATGGAAGATTTCATATATTTCTGTAAGCAATGCCAGACGTTCTGAGGGAAATTTGTAAGATTCCTTTACTTTTTCGCTATAGCCAGAAATGAAGATATTATCAACATTATCGAACCCACAATCACATCAATCGAAATTTGATATTATACTCCGGAAAAAAATATTGTTGAGAGTAACCAGATAATCGGAGTAAGGATCGAGAATGAATATTAATATTCAAAGCTCTAAACAAAATCTTCAATAAAATGATCGTTGGAGTAAAACTCAAAGGGATTCTACACTTTTTTGACCATCGCTATATTGTGATATACATAGTATGGGATTATTTACTAGTATTACTAGTAAATAATCCCAACTACTTTGTCGATATGTATTCCTCTAAGCTGAATGATATTCTTAAAGTAAGATAATATGTGTGATACTGTCTTGTTTAACATTTTCTTTGTTTAAACATAAAATAAGACTTTTAACCGTTTTCATCTCTGCTTTTGAGGCAAGAGAAGCACAGGTGATTTCCAATAAGAAAAAAGTTCAAGGACAGCCTACAATATCAATATTTTAGTAGTGTAACGCAAACAGCCAGGATAATAATGTTGTAACAGGATAATATGCTCTCTTTGTTCTACTGTTCTGTCGACATCAGACGTGATTCTACGAAATGTTGTATTATTGTGTCCTATAGGCAAAAACATAAAAACGAAATGTAGTAGATATGTTAGAGTGGGCTCTTTGAATATAATTTTTCCAAATAATCAAAACGAACATTTTTCTTCAAATATACACTAGTTTCGTCACAAATACTTATTATAATTATAGAGCTAGCAGATTAAACTTGGCCCTTTTTCATATATTTAACAGTTATTGTAGCTTGTGTAATATTGATAACAAGTTCTCTGGAACAAGGCCTTGGTCACGTCAAGCTGTCAACCATCAATCTACAACTCAATGCTTAGATAAAATTGCATGACATTACCGTCACTTGCGGGAAGTCTTCAGGTTATTTTGATATAAGTCTAGAGCCCGTGCGAAATCCATTTTTAATTGATTGTCCAGCGTTATGAAAGCAATTATAATTTCACGCATCAGGGGAGCTCGCTTTCAACCAAACGAATCCTTTACGCCATTCTTGTCATGCGGTTGGTCACTTATTTGCAGAAGAAACTTTTGGGATTGAAATTATGCAAATATTCGAGGTTAGTTTCAGTGCCTGATGGTATTATATTGTTCATGTTGTTGTCCTGGTCAACGTAGTAGGCCTATATATATTTTCATTCACCGATGTATGAACTTACTGTGTTCGCATTGCTTTGCTGAGGATTGAAACATGCCAAGTGACCCTCTTGAAAAACACACTGTGTAATTCACACGTCATACTACTAAGGGACAGTGTGTTCTCCCATTAAGGCTACATACAGGGACACGCCGTGTTCGCACTAACGTCGTTCTAAATGGACAAGCTTAGTTCACACTCACAGTCATGATACTGACTTTGGCACACGAAAATAATTTGTCCTTTTGCCACTGATACACCCCACACTGGGTAAACGATGTGTACAATGTGACCTGCATGTCCACACCATTGTTAGACCGTGTTAGACACACCGTGTTAACGTTGCTTCATAGTGTTTTACAATGTGGAACATAACGCTCTCTTTTATCGATATTGCATACACATTGCTTTTTTTTTTTACTGTGGACAACCATACTCCTGTTTCATTGTTCCACACTATGACCACACTATGACCACACAACTCTAGAGCACTGCATGTGCTTATTATAGACGACATGTCTGCTGATTAAATTTCTAGCCCTCTGGTCACGCAGTGGTCATCAAAAGGCACAACCAGAAGAAAATGGAATGTTTTGTCAATTAAATATGGACGTGTGGTGGCCGCATAATAGTTCATTAAAGATAGGTGAGTTCTGGTCATCCGATTGTATTGTGAAAGAAAAGATGTGGAATGGAAGAGAAAAAGTTGATCATGTAGCATATAAGTATTGGTGTGTACTGCAAAGTTCTTGAGTCATCAAAATCATAATAAATTTGGCCCATGCAGTCTTGGTAAAGTAACAAGCACTGTACACAGAAAGATGTACATGGGACTACACAAATGGTGTCGGGGCTACTAACCTTGATTTCCTAATCTTGCTATGCTCATTACTCAGCCAGTATACATTTTCTACCAAAATTGTTTGGCAAATGACATTTATTTGTAATCTTGAACATTCAGTGTAAGTTTCGTTTGATTCTGTGAGAATTCTTCCTTTTTTTTTAAACCAAAACCTACCTTTATCTTCAACTTTATTGTAAATCCAATTGTTCAGGTTTCGAATCTCAGTCCGGCCTTCCGTCCTTTGGGAAGATATTAAACCACATTTACCACTCTCTACCCATGTATTAAATGGCTACCCGGTAAGATGGGAAAGCCACTGCAGTTTGCTCACCATTGTGAGCTCCTGACTAGGATGTACTCCAATGAGGGGAGAATGTGCGTACTTTGTGCGTGGGCAACCGTGAGTACGATGACCGGGTTAATTACAAAGGCTTGGAAACATCGTCGATGGATTAAAGCGCTATAAAACCCAGAATATCATTATGGTTATTAATTTAATGGATTAAAGGGATATTTTGGGCAATCGCATCAATCCTATTAGTAGGCATATTATAGGGAAATAGACTGTTCGTAGGCTGGACGTTATTAGAGATGTGGTCGCAAAACAGTTCATATTTAAAAATTGACCTATGGGACATTAATAACGACTTCATTTACGAGGTGTAAAACCAGATATAAATGTGTATAGGCCTATTAGGGGTGCATTATTGCTTTAGATGTATACAGACATAACGTTATAAATGTCACAGCTTGGATAATCAGAAATAAATTGGCTATTTAAAATGATGGATTATTCATCTCAATAATTATCATTCCGGTCAGTAGATGTTCATGACAGTATAATCATACGAGATAGAAAATGAAAAATGACTATACGATAACTATCTCGTTATGTGATACAAGTAGAACGCGGTAGCAATATCAGTACATTTTTTTTTATAAAGAAAAGGTTTTGTTCTCTAAACATTTTAATTTGATGGTTAGGAAGGCCTCAATTGTTAAACGTCCTATAACATGTATGTATACAATATATAAGTCCATCCGTCTGCAAAGGATCGCATTTACCCCTAGCGAAGGAATTTATCTCCCAACACCTCTATTAAAAACAGACAAACTGTTTCTCTCTTATGCTCTTCTTCCGTCAAATGCGTGGTATATTAGAGCACACAGAGGCGGTCTTACTCTTAAAATGTAATGCGAATTAACTGCCGACCTTTACCTAATGCAATTACATTTTCACCTCACCTTTCCCCTTTATTTCCACTTCATTTGAAGTCATTTATAGATTCTTGATTTTTTACTAGAATATTGTTTCTCCAAATTGATCAATCGTTTGTGTCTCGTCAATTAATATGTGCATTTTAATAAGTTAGATGTTCAAGAAAGGAATACCCTTTCTACGAATAACATGTTTAAAGTTTTAATCAAATTATTGAGGCCCTGCTTGTGAAAAAGCACAGTAAGTTCCATTGAATTTTGTGATATTGTTCTTGATTACCAGAACTCCAGATTATTCTATGTCTATTCTTTTGTTTACAATTGGGGAATAAATCATACAATTACTGACACCCACGTCACGTAGTAACGTCACTTAATGGTGATTATTGTTATTAAAGCTCCGCACGAAAAGAATTAGGCCTTGTTGAGAAAAAAAACACCGCTAACGTCTGCTGCAAGCGATCGATTGCTTCAATTTGAATGACAGTCAATTGCACTAGAAGATGCAGTAATTGTTCTTAATGTGGTTTTAATCATTCTACAGTGGTATGATCTCTAGCGCAGTCGTGGTTATTGGATACAGGGGTAGATCCAGGCTTTGATAAAGAAAATGGGGGCACACTCCATCAAATTACTAAAGGGAGATAATACCAGAGTTGTTGTGCAGCACATGCTTCGTGTACACTGCACCGCGGTCAATACCCACCACTTAACCGACGTCCGAACTTCAACCTTGGACCTGACGTGCACCTAACAGTAACCGTTACCCAAATTAACCCCTGAACCAAATTGCAACCCTAACCATTTGTTCTCTGACGACCGAAATCCCGGGACATTAATCGAAGAATCGAGGTCGGAAATTTGAAAAAGGGTCGCATATTTTTCTTTTGTGTACTTAAGCTATGCCGCATTTGTTTCAAGAAAGGAGCACCGGACGGTTGTGACACCCACCCACCCCCCCCCCCCCTCTCCATTCCTTAATCCGCCAGTCACATGATTGGCTCTGCTTGAAAGTGTGATGCTTTTCTAACAATTTAGTTTAGCATTTATTAACCTTCACGTTATAGTTTAGTGTCTGAA